GGGCACCTCCTCTCCAGCAGAACTCCCCCAGCTCTTTGAATAACCCAGGGGAATTTCTTACTGATCCTTGCTCACCTGCTTTCCACACAGCCCCCAGGTACGTGTGTAAGAGTTTTGGGCAGGGTGGAAGAGCTGTGCCCAGTTGCAGGGGTTCTCTCGCAGAGGGGAGTGTTGGCTTGGGAGGAGCTCCCCTGAAAGAGCAAAGCTCTTTCATGCAGCATTGCACAGGAGGCAGGGCCAATGCCATAAGGTCATTTCAATGAGTGACTTGCACTGTTTGGCCTTTAGCAAGCCTCGATCCATGACATGAGGAGGAGCTGTGGGCCCAGAGCTCCTAAATCAGGAGATACAGTAATTTCAGTCCAACACTTTAAGATAGAGCCCAGGTTCACTGAGCAGCACCAGCCATCTCTGGCCACTAGGACTAGCACTAGCGTGCACACACACACACACACCTCTCCAAAATGGCACTGCAATGCCTGTGTCACCAAGAACAGCAGGTAGGACCAGGCTGCCCACCCTCATCCCATCCTTCCACCCATGCACTGCAGCTATTACCCTGCAAGTAGGACAGCTGGCAGTGCCACCCCAAGAACAAGGCACCCTGGCATCAGGCAGGTTCCTGTTCAAAGCATCTGACTGCTTTACCCCCTCCTAATAAATGGGACAAGTAGGTTCCTGAGGATATCTGCAGGGAAGGACAAAGTGCAGAGGAGTCGGCTTGCAAATCCCAATCCATCTCTGCACTCTTCATCCAAGTCTCATTTTGTGAGTTTATCCAGGAGAGATTTAGATTGGATATTAGGAAAAATTTCTTCACTGAAAGAGTGGTTCGGCATTGGAACAGGCTGCCCAGGGAGGTGATGGAGTCACCATCCCTGGAGGTGTTCAAAAAACATGTAGATGTGGTGCTAAGGGACATGGTTTAGTGGTGGGCTTGGCAGTGTTATAATGGTTGGACTTGATGATCTTAAAGGTCTTTTCCAACCTAAATGATTCTATGATTCTATGATCAAACCCCTGCCTCCAGACAGGTCTTGGGGCAGAACCATCCAGCTGGGAGTTTGCCTATTTGAAAGTTGCTGGAGCCTCTAAAGCTGTCTAAGCTGGGCTGTTAATTCATGCTAAACTGACTTAAAATAGAGCAGTGAATGCCAGAAAAATGATTGAACAACCAAAGTGAAAAAGACTTAAATTGCTTATTTTTCCACTATCTGCCAAATTGTTTGGGCTTTCCAAGGCAACAGCTTTAGACTCATGGTTAAGTTGACCTAATACAAATAAACTGCCAAGCTGGCTCTGTGGATTCCCAGGCTAGAGGAGGTGTGGATCCTCTCCTGCAGGACACAACCTGGAGGAGGAGAAGGACTTCTATGAATTAAAACATTTGTCAGAAAATGACACCCAGGAGCAATGCACAGCAAGAGGGCATGCCTGCTCCTGGCCCTCGCATGGAGATAGGAAAGGTCAGCCTAAGGCAGAAGGAGGGGAACAAAGGTGCAGGAAGAGTCAATCATTTACCTGGGGTGACACAGCTGACAAGCATTTGGAAAGGGAAAAGGCCAGGGACCTCTTGGCTCATCATTTCTCAGCAGCCATTTTCCTCAAAAGGGGTTTCCTGCAATGCTCAGAGGGGATCACAGCATAACAACAGGAATCCTACTGGGGACATCCTGCAGTGACAGGAGCCATGAGAGGCTGATGGCACAGTTTTCCGTGGTGTGTGTCGTGACCCTGGTCCTGTGCACAGCTCATGTGATTGCAGCTCTGTCCTGGCTGCCATCAGGTCTTCTGGCTGCTGCACCAAGAGAGACACATGTATTCATTAACCACGGGCTGGTGCAG